GTGAGAGGCTGGTTAGGAGGGCAGCGGGCGCAGATAAGTCGCTAACAGGCACAGGTGTGGCGCGGCGGGGAGGCTGATGGGAAATGACACCGGAAATGACGTGGGCCTGGGGATGGCTAAGGAGACATGTGGCCCCAAACTCCAAGAGATGCCCTGGAAGCAGCCACTCAGACTCCCAGGTGTGCGGGGAACAGTCCAGCTGTTCACCCCAAGCGGAACACTGAGAGGGGTCAGACGGTCCTGGCTGAGGCAGGCGGGACTGCGCCCCAACCCAGCCTGGCGGTCCTGCCCCTGGGGGCTGGCGCTCCAGGAGGTGAGCAAAGGGGCCGGTGAGTGAGGAGGAGCAGCAGACAGGCCAGGCCAGAGTGGGCGCCCTCCTCCACGCGCCCCACCCCCTTCTCCCGGAGGTTCCGGTCAGACCGGAAGCACGTGGCCCCCCACCTGCGGGGTTGCCTGGGAGACCCGGGCTGTTTACCAGCTTGAAAGGAGCCGGCAGAGGGCAGCGGATGGAGCGAACAAGCGGCAAGGTGAGTGGGGTGAGCAGCCATCCCCCCACACCCCTCAGGGGTGGAAGGGGCCAGAGAGGCCGGACCCCAGCCCGAAAGGCACCAGGGCGGGGCTCCCCAGACCGGTCCCAGGAGAGATGCCAGGGAACTAGCCCTGGGGTTTCCTGGGAGAGGTGCTACTCCCCAGGGCCAAAGGCCGCCTGGCCAGGGCTCCCCGTTGCGGAAATAACTCACGAACCCCGTGCAAGGCACGGAGCTAGGAAACCAGTGGGCTCTGCCCTGCTGCCGGCCGTGCAGACCGGGCACAGGCCCAGAGAGACAAAGGAGGCCCCATCCCACAGCAATGCCTGGACCAGACTGAGCTCTCCTGACTGTGCTCCGCAGTCAGCTCACTTTCTCGCCTGTTCCCCAAATGCCTCCTACTGCTGCTTAAGCCCTTTGCTTTCTAGAGCCCGCAGTACTGGGAATTCATGTTTGAGCTGTCCCCCTCCATCGACCCCCGCCTCACTGCGCCCCCTGCTGTTGGTTCATGCTCAATTCTTTTCCCAAGCCTTCAGCCCAGTTTCTCTGCCTGCCTGGTCCAGTTTGGTGCATGCTGACCACTAGTGGGAGGAGGGTGGGGAGGGAGTGGACCAAAGTTTTCTCACTCTCAGGTCATCCCTCTGTTGTTTCTTTGAGGGCTTTCATCCTGAAAGCTTCAGCGGAGGCAGGGACGTTGGCAGGGGGTAGCCCTAATCAATACATATTTTTTAAAAGACCAATTCAAGTCTCTGTATCGTTGGTATGTACAGCAGATGGCATGTGGGTGGTTGTATTTTATTGCGTTTGCTGGAGGTTTAGATTTGGGTTCTAAGCGAAATAGGAAGGTCTGACCCTGCAGGGGGGCACCCCAGGGAGCCAGAGATACGGCTCCAGTGCCAGTCAGACTTTCCTTTTGCCGGCTCATTTGGCCATTAACTACAAGGAGTGGCTGCCTGCCCTCTTGGCCACTTCCTGGAAACAGTTCTCAGTGTTTGTTCCTTGACTCCTAGCAGGTCTCCGGGTGCAGGCAGGTGTTGGTATAAAAGGCCACTGCCTCTTCAGCTGGCAGCTTGATGGATGCCAACACCTGGTGCAGTCACTTTGGGGTTGAGAGGCTGCAGGCTTCGAGGTGGTGCGCTGAGCAGGGAGTGTGCGGGTGCAGCAGAAGCCTTCCTGTGCAGGCGCGGGGGCGGGGGCTGCGAGGAGGCAGGCAGAGTTCAGGACCCAAGGTGGGACAAGAAGCAGTTGGCCCCGGGCCCTAAACACCTGCTCCAGCACCAGCGCCGCCACCGCACGGTCCTGCTGGGAGGGTTGGTGTTGGCCTCCTGTGACAGATGGTCCTGCCACGCAGGGGGAGGCAGTGGGTTAGAAAAGCAGGTTGGATGGAACGGCTTTACCTGAAGGAGGTGTTAGTCTCTAAATAACCGTGAGTGGGCTTCCAGGCATTAGTCATAATTGAGGTTTTTCTCTGTGATAGCTCGAAGTCATGTTATCTTATGACCAGGGTGTCTTGAACAGGACACCCCCTGAACACGGGTAATTATATAGCACCAAAAGGTATAGAAAGTGGTGCACATACTCAAGTTTGACTGTTAAAAATAATCCAGCAGAGAGCCTGTGAGAACACATGACTCCTCATCAAAATTGTTAAGGAAGAGGTTTCTAAGTTACCAAACTTACTGACAGTTAAGCCTTCCTGAGGCATGTGTGGGAGTCAGAAGCCATGTCTGTGATAAATTCTGTGGAAGCTGTGGCAAATTAATAGCCACTGCGCCGGAGGGGAGGCGGCGGAGGGGGAGAGCTGGCCAGCTTGTCTTTGGCGGGAGAGTGGGGCAGGGGTGACCTCACACCATCCTGAGCTGCCTAGGACTTGAGAACTCACCGAAAATAAGAGAGAGGAGAGAAGACGGCTCTTCACAGTGCATGGGAAAACGATGAGATTAACAAGGCAAAGGGTGGGCTGGGGACTGCCAAGGAGAAGTCTCCCAGCAGCCAGATTGGGTGTGAAAGAGTAGTGAGAAGTGGAGACAGAGTGGAGACGCGCGTCTGTGAGGACGTGAAGCCAGCGCGGAGGCCTTTAAGCTAGGAAAGTGGGGGTGACTGCGATCGAGAACTCGCACTGAGCGACCCCAGAGCACAGGAGCAATTGTGTTGGGTTGGGTTGTGGTTTCAGTGGGAGGGGGAGCTCACGCCCTGAAAAGCTTGAAGCTTGAGTGGCATCATCCAGGGGTGTGTGAGGAAGGTGGCTGGGGATAAGAGAATTTGAGGTGCCTTTGGGATCAAAGTGGGGCTATTAGGAAGCTTTTGTTTCAGCTGGTTGAGGCAATTTCCCAGGCAGACACAGCTCGTGCCAGCCTCCCAGCATTTCTGCGCAATGGGCAAGCCCGGATTTACCTGGCTGGGCAGAGTTTACTGCGTGTGTGACCATCAAGGATCCCCTGGGGAGAAGCTAAAGCATCAGCTAAAGCTTTGAGATATGAAACAGAAGCTTAAAGCCCCCTGCCAGCTACTGTGTGTTGGCACCATGGCATGCCTGGTGCTCACGCCTCCCCTAAGTCACTCCGGGTTATTAGCCTCCTGTTGCAAATCAAGAGAGCTTTTGAGAGGTGTTTGAGTCCGTCTTTAAAGTGACAGGACTGAGGCTGTCTGTAGGCGAGGAAAGCCATGTTCAGAATGATTGTCCCAGGCCACGCGGCCTGAAGTAGGACCCCAGTCTTAGGATGGTGCTGCTTGGGGGCGTTGAAGCCCTGCAAAACTACCAGAAGGTGGGAGAGACCTGGTCAACCCATGGGTGGAAACCAGTGGTTGCTGTGGAGGCCAGGACTCAGGGGGAGGCAGGGAGCCCAGGAAGGTGCCATGTCCTGGGAGTGATGTCACTGCAGGGGGGGAGAAACTGATGTTGCCGGTTCAGTGAAAGGGGGCCACCAGGAGGGTGATGAGTGAGAGGGAGACCTGACCTCGTAGTTCTGAGCCTGCGCAGAGAAATGCCAAGGCCTCCCACCAGCATTATTAGAACATTGCTTCTGTGTCATTTCATGAGTACCCACAGAACAGCCAAATGCAGAACCCCCAAAAGCATTTACAAGGGCGCTGGGAAGACAGAAACGCAGGAGGCTAACAGAGACAGGACGTGGTCAGTGCAGGGAGCGAGGCCTGCCCGTCCCCAGTAGCAGGACCAGTGCGTGTGTGAAACGAGCATGCACCCAGAGGCCCCCCAGGCAGACACCAGAGCTCCCCTTTGGAGTCCGTCTAGGACTGGGTTCCATAAATGAGAGCCTACCAGCTAAATCCTGCCCCCCACCCATTTATGTGTGGCTTGTGAGCTAAGAATAGTTTTTATGTTTTTAAATGGTTGAAGAAGATCAAAAGAGGAATAACATTTTGTACCACATGGAAATTACAGGAGATTAAAATTTTGGTGCCCACAGATGAAGATTTATCGAGACACAGCCACACCTGTTGTTTACATTCTGTCTCTGGCGGCTCCCAAACCCCACAGGCAGTGCTGAGTGTGACAGGCTGTCGGGCCTGCCAAGCTGAAAATACTCTACTGTCTGGGCCTTTACAGAAGAGGTTGGTTGATCCCTGATCTTGACCCAGAGACCACCTCTGCCAGCCCAGGGCGGGGCTGCCACGTCTGTCCCACTCAGCTCTGATCACCTGAGCTGATCCCAGTGTCCTGGCTTTGTGTCCCCACAGAACAGCCAAATGCAGAGTACCCGCAGAACAGCCAAATGCAGCCAAATGTCACCTTCTAGAGTAAAGGTGCCTAGCTACTGGCCAGCCCTGCCCCCACCCCCCCCACTGCGTCCACATGGTGGATAGCACAGGCCAGGCCGAGCTCTGCCCCACCCCTGCGCTTTCCCTGGTCTTACCCTCATCTGCAAACTTAAGTTTTGGGCAACCCACACCTGGCACGCTGCTTCTTTGTCAATAAAGTTGATCAGAACACAGCCATGGTCATCGGATCAAGTAGTGTCCGTGGCTGTTGTGCGACCGGGGCAGAAGTGAGCAGATGGAACACAGACCACGTGGCTCAGAAAGCTGGACAGTAAAAGCGACCCTGCTAGTGTGTGGTGTGGCTTATTCCTTCTCCTCCACCCCCAGTGAGAGCAAGAATTCACCCACCACCCTAGTCACTCTCCGGAACAATACTTGTTTATTTAACCCATAGTAGTTACTACTTTGTAAAAATGCTAGTTCCTGTGGGCTTAATGCCTGTCTTTCCCTACTATGTTAAATTGCAAGAACTTCAGTTCACGGATACCTTCCAAGCGCCTGGAAGGGAGCGGGGTGCATTGCAGCTGGTGCCCCCCTCCAGAAGCAGAAATCCAGGGACAGTTGTCTCCTTCCCTGCCGTGGTTGGTTGGTGTTCACTCTGGCCCCCGGGGAGGGCAGGCCTTGGGCCCAGAAGCCCAGCCAGGAAGCTGACCCATGCTCTTTCCTCCTGCTCCCTTAGCGGTGTTGAGAAGCAATGGTCACGGAAGCCCCGGTGAACATAGCCCCCTCTGAGTGCAGCCCTGCCGGCCGCAGCCCCGCGGACAGCTTCATTTGGCAGCCAGACTCGCCAAGCATGCACGTCGTCAGGCCCAAGTCCGCCAAGGGTCGGACCCGGCCCAGGCTGCAGCCCGCGGGCCCCCACGGCACGCCCTCCTCTGCGCCCCCAGCCATTCCCTGCGAGGTGCCAAGTAGCCAGAAACCCGGAGCCTGCACACCCAGATCGCCACCTCAGGGCGCTCCCGATGAGATCCCTGAGCTGCTGCAGCTGGCGCCCGTGGGAGCCTCCTCCTCCCTCAATAGATACCCAGTCCTTCCGTCCATCCACAGGAAGGCGCTGGAGGAGGGGGCTGTGGAGACAGTCGCTAAGAAGGCTGGCTCCCTGCAGCTGAGCGGCGTCCAGGCTCTTGACCAAGAGGACTCCTGCACCATGAAGACCAGTGGCGAAGACTCCAGGCCTCAAGCTTGTTCCCAGGAAAGGAAGCCCATTGTCCAAACCAAGAACCAGAGCTCGTCCAGGCCGGGAGATCTGGAGGAACCATCCGACCGAGAGCCCAGGCTGCTGCTTGCTGTCCGATCGCCGTCCGGCCGCAGGTTTGTCCACCATTTCCGGCCGACTGACGACTTGCAGACGGTGGTCGCTGTGGCTGAACACAAGAACAAGACCACCTACCAGCACTGCAGCATTGAAACCATGGAGGTGCCCAGGAGATGCTTCTCTGACCTCACCAAGTCTCTGCAGGAGTGCAGAATCTCCCACAAGTCTGTGCTGGGCATCTCACAGCAGGGTGCGGAGGGCTGGCCCTGAGTCCGCAGCCACCTGCGGTCCGTCTCTGAGCCAGGAGCCTGCTTGGTTGCCATGGCGCCCAGCGGCTCGGCGCCACGTGCCATGGGGTGCCACCATCGTTCCCCAACAGCCTCTCCTCCGAAGCAGTGACATCTGCACGCGTCCCGAGCGAGCTCCGCAGATTCTCTCCCTGCTGTTAAATTCGCTCCACCTCTGGAGTGAACGGGCACATTACCAAGGCTGTCCCCGAAACAGCTGCCACCAGCGCGCCCTGGCAGAGCCGGGTCCTTCTGGGGGCGGCTCGTCTTCACAGTGGACTCGCGCCTGAACCCAGCGATCGCCTTTCTGTCTCCGATACAGGATCAGACACTTCCCAGAGCTGGCTCTCGTCTGGTAAATACCCAGGGCTCAGGAAATGTCGAGCTGGCATTTGCATTTCTTGCAAGCATCTTTAGGAAACAGGAGTTGCTCTGGCTGGGAAGCAGCCCCTGTGCGGGACTTGGGGTCTAGTTTCTGGGGGATTGCTGTTTATAGGAGGCAGCTTCGGAGGAAAGCAGGGTCTCTGCTACAACAAATCCCCTGATACATCAACCTTTCTAAAACAGCCTGAGAGCTGGAAAGCAAATCTCTCCCACCACCGTGGATTGGCCCGAAACTACTTTTAAATAGAGACTGAGCAATTTACAACTTCTGCGAGCTGCTCTCTAGGAGAAAAGCCAATGTCCTCTGATTTCCTTTGCTAAAAAAAATGGCACAAGCCAGGTGGCCCACAGGAACCTGTCCTGAAGCCCCGCCCTGGCGCCCCCATTTCACCGTCTTGCCTACTTCAGATGTGCCCTGTACCCTGCTTGGGAGTCCTCCAGGGTGGCATCACTCCGCGGGGCCCCTGCTGAGGCCCCGTGCCCAGGTGTCGGCTGGTTGGCACCCGGCGCGTCTGGCTGCCCAGCCCGTCGCTGTGCTGAGCCACGGTGGTCTCGTTCCGGTTCTGAAATGGTGACGTGGACAATTTGCCAAAATTCTCTTGTGTTGTGAGCTCAGCCAGACACCCACATCTCACCTCGAGCCCGGGTGAGGCCAAAGCACCACCCAAAGAAGGGGACGCTTGTACCCCTCGAGCTCAGCCCCCACAGAGCCAAGTCTTGAGGTGCAGTACCCGGAGTGGGCAGACTTGGAGCGTGTCAGTGTTGCTCTCTCAGCAGCAAGGGCTGCTTGTGTAGACAGGACTGGTGTCGGCTGGTTTGTTCTGCAAATCCATACTCAGCCCAGGAGCCAAGCACACCTTGCTCTGTGCTCTCTGGGGGCCTCCCGCCCCCACCCCCCACTCCAAGGCAGGCTAGTTCCCAGTGTTTCCCGGGTTTCATAATGCCGTCCTGAGGGCAGTGGCCAGCGGGGGAGCGCCGCGCCTCTCCTAGCGACCAGCTGCCAGAGGGCCCTGCCTGGCACCCGTAGCACAGGAATGCTGCTGCCCACCCAAGCACAGAGCTCTGCCTGGGGTCTGGGAGGCCGGGAAAGGGCCTCCCACAAGGGCACACCTACTCTGTGGTGAGAACAAAGTCCTGCCCACCTGGACTCCATCATCTCCCCATGCAGGCAGCGTCCGTGAACGGGGCTTGCTTGATGGAGCGGCCACCTTCCGTACTTAGGGCTTTGCCGCTGCTGCTTAGCTTGGAATTTGGGGGTGGGGGAACGTGGATGACACGAAGCACAGGCCTATTTAGGGTACGTGGATAAAGCTGCATTGAAACCATCTTAATAAACGTTTTTTTAGACAAATGATGACACAATAAAACTGATGGCTGTGAAACTGAGTCGGTGGAGAAGTACGTCTCACGTCCTGGCCCAGGACGTGGGCTGCCACGCCCTCCCGGACAGCGCGGTCCCTGAGCATGACTCCAGGCTGCCACCTGCCCGCCCTTCCCATGAGGTGTGGCCCCGGCCTGTCCCGTGCCCCAGCTTGTCTGCACAGGGAACGGCTGAGTTGCTGCTAAGAGTCTTGCCGCACCCTCTCCTTCTGAGGTCGGCAAGCAGACTCTCAGAAAGTCAGGCCTGGGTGGCATGGCCAGTGGGCATCCTGACCCGGGGCACTACTTTTGGTGGCCCTTGTGGTCACCCGGCCTCAGTCTCATTGATCCAACAAGGGCCTATCCAGTGCCACGCGCAGAGAAATGGGAAGATCATATGGGGCGTTAGCAGTGCAGACCAGGCGGGGGCTGTGGCTGGCCGGGGCTGGAGCGTGAGTATTAGGCTAGATCCAGGATGGGGGAGGGGGGGTCTTCCCCCTGCCCTCTGCAAATGCAGGGAACCCTTTTCCCACCCTCCCTAGTGTCCGCCCAAGGGACTCTGCTCTTTGGGAACATGCGCTGTGCACAAGGCAGAGCTTCATGACATGTTATTCCACTATACCCCTCCCCCATCAAGTCCGCTAGGTAACTTAGCCCTGGCAGCATAAGGAACAGCAGAAGTAAGTGACTCATCATGTAGAATTCAAAAAAATGTTCACCAACAGATGGCAGGTGGTTTTAACACAACAGTCCCTGCCCTGGAAGCACCTGGGGACCCGGCCAACAGCCGGCAAGCCAGGGTCATCCTGTGTGGACATGCCAGCGGCTGGCCCTCAGCACCCGGGCTCACCCACGACAAGCTCCCCACCTGGAGGAGCTCAGACAGGCTAAGAGCCCAAAGGCGGGTCACCTGGTCTGAGGTCACTGTCGTGTCCCAGAAGCAGGCACACCAGGAGCTGGATTTTCCCTTCATCAACTCTCATCAGCCAATTTTTTTTTAATAAAAAAAAATTTTAAAACAATCCGGAATTTTTTTTTTCATCTCAATTGTAATCTCCGTGGGTTTCCCATCACCGACTCACCATGAGCCAATTTTTTTTTGAAGATTTATTTATGCATACAGAACTGGGGTACAGGCCAGAGGTGCAGGGGTGGCGAGAGGCTTCACCAGAGACAGAGTGGGGAGCAGAACAGGCCGACTGACGAAGTCCACTGCTGAGGGGAGCAGTGGGCGAGGCAAGAGAGATCTGCCGCACTGAGTGGTCACTTCCGGGGCCAGGGATCGAACTCATGCTGCAGTGGCTGCAGCTCGCTCGCAATGCCACACTGTAACCTGCTGCACCACCAGGGAGGGCCTCATCAGCCAATTTTAATGGGTTTCTAATATCAAATTAAGTTACCCTGACCCAAGAGACAAAAAGGTTTCTCTTTCTGTGTTTTCTAAGTTAAGATCTTCAGAACAAGTTGAGATAAAAGGGCACATGGTTTCCTGGAGTCCAGGATACACTTGAGGCCATCCTGTTAGGTACTAACAGTATTGTTTGCAGAATTGCAAAGAAATCTGATTACCTGACTTTTGGCTACATGTGGAAATCAGTGTGAGGATGAAGCAGGAACATCTGTTCTTCTTAGTCCCCAAGGCAACAATCCACAATAAAGCAGAGTTCTCGAACCTGTTCACCTGTTCACCCTCACGCCCAAAGCAGAACCCCTCAAGCCCACCACCTGACAAGATCAGTCTGCCTAGAAGTAGTCACCCCGAGTGGCGCCAACTTGGGGTGACTCAGTTGCACACGAGCTAGTAACTCACATCATGAAGATAAAATGGGCTGGCTCACTTCTTTGTCTCACAGTGATCCGACATCTTCCCCTCTCCCTTTGCCGCTGAGGCTGTCTGTGCCAGTCCTTTATGACGACGCTGAATCTTTACCCACAAACAGGTGAAGCAGCAACTGCTTCCTGCACAGTTGTGTGGAAGAAAAGTCACTGTGGGTCTCTTGGGAGCCGTTTCAGCCCTGGGCCAAGAGCTTGAACAACTGATGTGACAGCTGCCAATGAGTGGGTGCCCCTGGGCTGTCGTGTGCCGGGGCGTGAGGTGGACAGCAGGGACCAGCTGCTGGAGGTGGACAGTGCCTGTGGGGAGTGACCGGCTTGGACCAGGGTGGTGGCCACAGAAGTAGTGAGAGGTGGTGGGACTAGACCTAAAATCCGACATCTTAAGAGAAAAGGAAACACAGGTCAGACAGCTGAGGCTTACAGAGTGCGGGGAGCTGGACCGTCAGGCACGGAGGACTAGACCCGCTGGAGACCAGCACAGATGTAACAAAGACACACATGGCAGTGGCCTCCCTGGTGGCCTCGGGGTTAAGTCTCAGCTCTGTCACTAATGCCTGAGTTCAAGCCCCAGCAGGGAGCTGACCCACAGGGTGCAGCAGACCTCTCCTGTCCCATCCACTGCCCCTCTCAGCAGTGGACTTGGTCTACTGACTGTCCTGCTCCCCGCTCTGTCTGGGGAGGCCTCTCATCCGCTGCACCTCTGGGCTGTACCCCAGTTCTGTATGCATAAATAAATAAATCTTAAAAAAAAAAAAAGACGCATGGCAGACGGGAACAGGCTGCCCAGCAGCCGTGTTAGAGGCCGGGAAGTCACGCGCCCAGGCGGCCCCACTCTCCGCGGCTTCCTGGAGAGCTATGGCTAACGCGGTTGCTGTTGTGCTTAACGTCTGGGTTGGACAGGCCAGCTGCCAGCCAGCTCTAGGGTCTGGTCATTGACCAAGGTTACTTGGTCCCGTGCTCGTCCCGGTGAGAGACCATGTTGTCGACCCTCCTCTCCCTCGTCCGGCCTCCCTCTGGCCTCGCTTCATTCCAGCCACTCTAACCCAGCGGCAGAGCTGTAAGGCACGTCTGAGGGCAGAAAGCCCCCGGCCCGGGCCTGCCTGGCCCATCTAGTTTCCAGGTTCCCATGCTCACAGGTCTTTGCAGTGAGAAGCGCAGAGGGCCTTGGCCCTTGGCTGGTCCGCTGAGCACTGCACCTCTCTGCCTT